TGGTGGAGCTACAGAGATCAACTGTTTAGGATGCATTATCTGTTGAACTTGACAGGACTATTTATTTGGCCTTTACAGAAAAGTGGCATGAAGAAAGATAGTATTAGATAAAATACCGATGTTTCCCTTAATCTGCATGCAGCAGGTCATTTGGAAAGAGGTTCTGGTCAGATGACCATAAAGTTTACTTATACTTTAGTTGTTTTTTAGTTATTTTAGTCTTTGATACATGATTTCATATGACTTTTATTTTTATTTTATTATTGATTTTCTGATCTAAATTTTTTTTTTGTTTATGCTTGTATGTTTTTCTTATATTCCATGTAATGCTGTTATGTTGTTTCACTGTACAGCACTTTGGTCCTTTGAGAAATTTTAAAGTGCTTTATAAATAAATTTGGATTGGATTGTACTGTGGTGAGAAATTAACATTACATCTTTTTTTTTTCTTTTACTAAAACAAAATGTTAAAATCATGCTACTGATTTAATTGCATTTAACATATCTTTTTGTTGATATTCACTTTGAAAATAGATGAAAAATATTGAAGTTTTGTTATACTTTGATTAAATAAAATATGGGAAAATGATCTAAATCATACTGATCCTTTTATGGACACCTTTTTACATTACTAAACAGTAAATCATGAATAGATTTGACATTCGGATGCTTGAAACTTTTTCTGAAGGATCTGAAGCTTATAATCCAGTTCAGTGCCATTCAATTATTTTATTACTTTTTTTTTTTTATAGACAGACAAGGTGGTAAAGTAGTGCTTCTGTTTAATGTTAACCTCCATCAGTAGCATCTCTCATTTCCCCCTGGCTGCAATAAGATTTTCTAGCATTTGCTTCCCCCTGGTGGCGGTTTTGTTCCACATAAAAAATGATTTTATTTATTAATAACAAAAACATTCTGGTTCTAATCAGAAGCAAGCATCTTTTTAAAAAATAAAGTGACAATGAAGAGGGTTAATATATTGAAGCATCAACTGAGGAAATGAGTTTTGGCCTTTTTTATTTTAAGCCGTTTTATTTTGTCTTTCTTGATTTATCCGTTCACTCAGAATGATGCAATGTTAAAAACAAATAGTTATGAATTTTGCTCAGTTTTCCACCGCAGTTCTTGCTATTTTAACTCACTCTCTAAGTAAACTAAGCTATCGTTAAGGTAAACATTAACTCCCAGTTAAGGCTGGCCTTTGACGTGCTCACACTAAATTCACTAACAGACCTTAGACAAACAAAGGGCAGATTTTAGTTTAACCTGAATGCTGTTTTTCTTTCTGGGGTCTGACCTGCTTAGATTAGGAGTCAAAATTCAACATAAATAGACTGATGTGAGTCATAAACCAAGAGACAGGAACAGCAAAAAATACTCAAAAACACAAATGGGCCACAAATGTTGTCATGGTCTTGGTTGTGTTAAGTTTTCTTTGATTTTTCAGTTTAACGATGATTCATGTTTTTCTTTGTTTTTGAGCTTTATTGGTTTAATTCCTATTTTGTGGTGTTTTTTTTGGATGTATTTGAGTTCTTAGGTTTTTCTTGTTTGCCCTCTGTTGCTCTCTTTTGTTGGTCTCCTTTTTCCTAGCTCCTTCTAGAAGCCTCTGTTCACACCTGCTTCCAATCAGCTCATTAGTCCTGTCTTTGTCCAGTCTCCTATATATACTCTCCCTGTGCAGTTCCTCAGTGCTGGTTCCTTGTCGTTTCCCGGCTCTTCATGCATGTTTTCCCTGATGTCTCCATGGTTCTGGTTTTTCTGTACTTTTTTTTTAATGTAGGATTTTTGGATTCCTGTCTCAGATGCCTGTGAGTAATTTTCATTAAACCTTCAAGAACTCACCTCTGCCTCCTCACCTCTTCATTTGGCTCCTTAAAACCTCAACCCAATCCTGACAAATGTATATATCCTAATATCATATAAAAACTGATTATACAAACCTCTGCGATCAAATCTCCATTCTCAGCATGAACCTGAGCTATAGCTCCGATCTCCTTACACTGGGCAAAGGCAGCATATAACTCGGAGTCCTGAAGCATGAACACATCCTTATAGGCCATGAACATCTTGAAGGAATTTACTCCCTTTTCTTTGGCCAGAGTTTCCATCTCTTTCTTAACCTGCAGTTTTTAAAGAAATACAACAGTTCTGATTCAAAAAGCATAGATTTGTTTGGTACCTTTGCCAAAGGATCACATCAACAGGGATCTACTCCTTTACCTCATCGCTCCACCAGGTGACAGCAACATGCAACGAGTAGTCACAGCAAACCTTAGCATCAGCTGTCTTACGCCAAACCTCATAGGCTTGCAGGAGAGACTTCCCCTTTTGTGGGATGACAAAGTCCAAGATCATTGTGGTGCCTCCTGCCAGAGCGGCCTGGAGAGAGAAAAACATTCCCACAGAGATGAAAGTTAAAGAATAACTACATAGTAAAAATATATTTGACCAATACCCTTTGTTCTCCTTCAAGGTTGAGGATTTTTT